CTGCACCGAGACGTGCACACACAGCAGACGGCAGCTCTTTCCTTCCTCTGCGGCATCTGTCGAGACCAGTGACAAAAGGCAGGATGCTGCTTCGGTGAAGGCTGATGCTGTCTGCTCTGCGGCAATCTAATTAATGCTTGTTAATAGAAGGAACTCGGAATTCCTAATGAGGTGGCTTCCTAATGCGGTGGCTGTGTTATGCTGCCTCCTGTTATTCTCTTGAAAGAAAAAGAAAGAGTGAGAGAAAGAGAGAGAAAGAGAGAAAGAAAGAGAAAGAGAGAAAGAAAGAAAGAGAGAAAGAAAGAGAGAGTGAGAGAAAGAGTGAGAGAAAGAGAGAGGGAAAGGAAGAAAAGGAGAAAGGGGGGAAGGGAGGAAGAAGGAAAGAAAGAAAAGAGAGAAAAGGAAGGAAGGAAGGAAGGAAGAAAGAAAGAAAGAAAGAAAGAGAAAGAAAGAAAGAAAGAAAGAGAAAGAAAGAAAGAAAGAAAGAGAAAGAAAGAAAGAAAGAAAGAGAAAGAAAGAAAGAAAGAAAGAGAAAGAAAGAAAGAAAGAAAGAGAAAGAAAGAAAGAAAGAAAGAGAAAGAAAGAAAGAAAGAAAGAGAAAGAAAGAAAGAAAGAAAGAGAAAGAAAGAAAGAAAGAAAGAGAAAGAAAGAAAGAAAGAAAGAGAAAGAAAGAAAGAAAGAAAGAGAAAGAAAGAAAGAAAGAAAGAGAAAGAAAGAAAGAAAGAAAAAGAATTTTCGTGTCTGATCTTTACAACACCCTGACAACACTGTTTTATTGATTAAAGTTCTCACATTGCTTGACCACAAACCAACAATTTCTTCCTTTTTTCTTTCTTTTTCTTTCTTTTTTTTAACTGTACATTAATTCTCAGAATATGCATTGTATCATGCATTTACCAGATATCACTATCCAAGACAATCATCCACTTTGGCTAAAAATGCTTTTATCTAGATACAAAGATGCTGAGAAAACCTGGGAAAAGTGGAGATGGGAGAGAGACGGATGCAGAAGAAGAACCCGAGAATTAATAACAGACCTGGGAAACATCTGTCTTCTTATGGAGAATAAACAGAAAAAAAGTTTCATGAAGGGCTTTGCATGCCAAAATAGAGAAACACAAAACAAAATAACCCCGCCAAAAGTCCAGCCTGAATGAGAAAGTGTAGAGTTCAGTTCAGGTCAAAGCCAAGGAGCACTTCTCAGTTGGAGCCTGACACAAACTGTGGTTACATTGAAACTATGGCTTGATTTTCGAGGGGCTATCTGAGCTTCTTGGAAATCTGGAGCTCAGTCCAATAGCCCCAATTCCGTGTGGGATTATTCCACTGGCTGCATGGAAGAGGTGGGGGTAAGGAACTTTGCTTTTTGTCTAGGTTTAGATTTTTTTTTTTGAGAATTTTTGCTCTCTCTGACATGGAGCTTTTGCAGACCTTACTCCTCAGTGTCTGAACAGGCTTTAAGTAGAGAGGCCCTATCCCAGTCCCAGATGCTTTCTTCCAAACCCTCCAAACAGCTTTTCAAAGAGGTTTTCATTTTAAAAGAGCAAAAATTAGAAGTTATAAGCAAATTAGAACCCACCATCTTTAAAAATTCATTAGGGTTTAGGTCTTGATTTCATCTTCAGATAGGTTTTCTTCAATTAAATAAGAAAACTCATACTTAAGCACAAACCAAAGGGACAAAAAGAAACCGGGTTAGCGCAGTGGCTGCTGGCTGGGTCTGCAGAGCAAGTGGGTCCACACATCACACCAGCACCCAACAAGCACCATCCTCTGAGAGCACCTAAATCACAGAAGGGCCAGGGAGTAGAGTCCTACAGTGAGGTGCAATTATGATTTTTTAGCTTACCTTCTCTTCTAAAGAGATCAATTAGCTTCAGGATGCTCTCCCCATCCAATATTAATATCTCCATGGGTGTTCTCTGTGATCAAGGGCCAAGAATTTGTGTTACCAGCCCTACTACTCCACGCTGCTGTTAAGGAAAGCCTCTCAGCAACTGTGAGCTTTTGCTGAATCCCCATGGACCCGAGGAATTCTCCTGTGAGCAGCTGGAAGTTTGTGACACACTTGATTTCTCAAGGGGAGCAGAACTATTCTGATCTGGATCCTTAATCATCCACAGTAGCTAAATGCACGTTGTGCATGTGTGAAGTCATTTGCCACGACATATTGGTGGTAAATACCGTCAATGCTTGCGCACACGGCTCAAGCACATTTTAAGCAAGTCTAATTTCTGTGCAGAAAGGTCAACAGCTTACCAGCTCTAGAAATCAGGTGGAGAATTTGCATGGGATTTGGACAGTTAAACCTCACATTTAAACCCTGATGAACAGATAGTGCTTGTGGTACTGGTTCAGTGCAACTACCAGTCACACTTTTCCTCTGCAAGTGCAAATACTTGTAGAGGGAGAAACATATTTAGACTGACTCCAGAGCAACCAAAATTTCCTTTTTCTGGCTAAATAATCCTCCATTTGATCATGTATACTTGGGAGTAGGCACTTAAAGTCAAATGTTTCAGGGCGACTATTGAAACTCGAGCTTCAGAAATAGTATTTAAATAACTGGTAGTTTGATACAGGCTACCTTGCAGATACAAAACAAAAAGGCAAGAAGCTAAAAAGGTGAGAAGACGGGAAGAGTAAGAAGAATATCATGTAGCTTTTTTGTGCCATCCCAGAGTTTGAGGATGATCTCTGTTTGCTTAAAACATGGCAATACTGCAGAATGCTGCTGACGTAATGAGGATATTTTTGTGTTGCATTTCCTCCCCAGGTGTCACAGAACAGCAGCTCCCGCTGAGTGAAAGACAATCTGAAAAGAGAAAATAGAAAAAGCAGACGAGCTAAAGACAGAGGTAGTTGAGAAGTCATCAAAAGGAGAAATAGTGACTGAAACATCAACAGGGCCAATGAATTATCATTGCCAATGAAATCTTGACTTCTCTATCCAAAAGTAACTGCTAGTAATAGTACAGACTTAGTCCTTCCTTCCAACACACAGCTGGAGTTACAGTCTTCAGGAGATGCAAGTAAAGAAAAGCATGGGAAAATGGGAAGCAGCCCACAGGTCTGACATGCAGTCCCTTTGGTTCCTGCTCTGCTCCTTCCTACCAGTTTCAGAAGACGAAATCCACCTTCTTGTGGGAGACACCTTTAAGATGTCCCTTCCCAGAACTTGCTCAGTGGGTCTTTAGCCACAGCTCTGTTTATCACCCCAGGAAGAGACAGTCTTGGGCTTCGCAAGGGATCATGTTCAGCCTTACCGGAGTCCAGCACAGCTGGGCAGTCTGGCAGTCTGTTACACATACGCCCAGAGCAAGAACAGGATTTATAGGGAACTTTTCTTGTAAGGTAAAAAGCATCAACAACAGCAAGACCAGATTAAGCTAAGCTAACATCTTCCAGAAAGGACTGAGATAAAGCTGCTCTGTCATCAGGTACATACACTTATGTGCACCCCTACCTTTGGGCAGGGAAAATAAAGCAGCTCCCAAGAGTGCAGCCTGCTCCTTTGGAATGATGGAAAGCAGGGATTGGAGCAACCCTCTTCCCTGCCTTTTCATTATTTCCAATGAATCAGTAAAATCCTCGTGGTAGCTGCTTTGTTTTGGAGATGCTGTCAATGCTATTTCTGCTCTTAATGTAATGAGTAAGTTCTTGGTTCATGAGCCTGTTTTTTGCAGTGAGTCACCATCCTTGGAGTCCTTTACCAGGCAGGAGTACTCAAAGTGGACCTGAAACATGACTTGTGCCATTGACCTCTTTGTGCCAGGCGTTGACGTCACTGAACTTGTCTTTTTCTCTAAACAGAATTATATCTGAGAGCAAGGCACATGCCCAGACCCGTGTAAAAGCTCATGAACCATCCCGTCTGTCCTACATGTCACTGCACAGGCCTCTTCCCACACTAATTCACCAGAATGCTGTCAGCTCTGCATGACTTGCATGGATGGAGACACGTGCTAACCACCAGCCCGGTCCTGCAGAACATGAGCACCGGGTGTTGTGCATTGCAGCCCTGCTCTTCCCGTATCTGCTGGCCCTTCTGCCTTCCCTGGTGCCCTTCACTGCTGGATGCTGGAGCAGGGATCCCAGCAGGGATGCTGTTAACACTGTGATCTGCCAGCAGCACCCTCAGCAGCTCAGGTCTCAGCCCATGCACTGGGATTCCGTAGTGGAGGGCGAGAGAAGTTGCAAAGGGTTTTATCTTCCTCCAGGTGCAGTTGCTTTGAGTTAGGGCAATGGATATGTGAGGTTCTGATGGAGGATTAACTTCAGGACCACCTGCCCCCTCAGGACCTCAGATCACTGAGTGTACTTCACTTGCTTGGTCTTTTGCTCTTGGTCTTTTGCTCTTGGTTTGACTTGTGTCCTGATCTCACACGTGTACGTTAGCAGTCTGACCTCATCCCTACCAAGTTATTCCTAGTTTTTATGTTTCATGAAGGTCACTATTTGCCAAAACCTGTGCTGCTGTCTACCCAGCTGGAGTGAAAGGGGAAGCCCGGACGAACAAAGCAAATGTGATGAAGTGCAAGAGCAGAGGGGACTGATGTCTGGTAGGAGGGTGTTTTCCAGTCTCGGGAATCCCCCCTGAAGTTTACTCTTTTTGCATTCCAGTTCACATGAAAACTCTACTCCTTCACTTTGCAGCTGCTGTGCACAGGCTGCAGCAGCCGCAGCATCACAGCAGTGTGTGGGACACACAACGGCTTTGGAAGAAGCATCGTTTTCCTTCCAGCCTCCTTGACACGTGCTCTTCAGCCCTCCGTGCATGCCAAAAGCATCACGTGCAGCCATGTGCTGAAAGGCAGTGCCTCTTAAATAACAGCAACTGCTTTGGCCTTTCTAGCTGAGAGGAAGTACAGCAAACATGCAAATACCTGAGCTGCGAGCCTGGGATCTTCCCACACCAGTTTCACGCACTTTCCTCTGCAGACACAGGCAGCAGCACTGGGTCCAGCAGCAGGGCAAGCTGTGGGACTGGAAATGCCCCGATGGTTCCAAAACAGGTTGAAAAATCTCATTTCGTGAAAGCCAGCTCTTGTGTTGCAGGTATGTTCCCAATCTCAACAGCCTGAGGACGTACAGCTTCACACCAGTATCACAAACTTTCATTATCACTAGTCTTACAATTAGCTTGGCAGGACAAAAATGGTTAGCCCCAGGCATATAAGAATTGTGGTCGCTCTATCAGCTTGCTTCTAGGCTGGTTTTGGTTCCCTTAGTTTGATGATTTGATACTGGAAAGTAGGAGAAATCTCCCTACAGGAGTCCACAGAGAGCTGAATCCTCACACAGAAGCTCTTGCAAGTTGTATAACATCTACATTTAGTTGGATCTGACCAGATTACACAAATCTTTCTCCTCCAGCAATGCTGCTGACATCGCACTCATTCCTAAAGACTCTTCAGGGGTTTGTCCAAAATCCTGGGCAGATAATAAAAAGGCATCATGTGCAGAGGCTTCGAGAGCTGCTGCGGAGCGTGGGGCTGCGTACCCCTGTGTAGACACCCTGGGAAGGAACCAAAATCCTGGGCAGATAATAAAAAGGGATCACGTGCAGAGGCTTGGAGAGCTGGTGCGGGGCTGCGTACCCCTATGTAGACACCCTGGGAAGAAGAACTTGAGCAAACCTCTTGCACAAGCTGAGGAAAGAAGATTAAAATCACCACCAGCAAAAATAAGCAAGCATTCCTTCCTCCTGGCCCTTTACACACATTTTCTTTCATCAAACCCCCCCCAAAAAGTGTAAGTTACTTCATTTTAGACTTTGAGAGACTCAGAATTGCAGGGCAAAAGCATTTTACCAAAGACAACTGATGAAGCTAATTTTAGAAGCAGCTGCACGGAAAATACTGCTCAGAGGCTCTAAAGCGGTAGAATATAATATAATACATATTTCCTCCTTTCTAGTTTCTGCCAAAAGAAAAAAAAAAAGAAGTTCAGAAGTAAATAATAATAAAAAGCAAGAGTACAAATGGGTAAGTACCTGTGGCTGCTGTTGGGGAACCCCACACCTTGCATGGGAAAGTCTCTGAATTTCATTCACTTCCGAAGATTCAAGGTGCTCAGCCAGTCGGAATCAAATTCGGGATGCTCTGCCAAGGATTTGGGTGCCCTGGACTCTGAAACTTTCAAAGTTTTCTTACTTCTTTCTGCTATCAGGGCATAATACCTCTGTTGTTGTAGAAACACTTGGATTATGAAGCCTTTCCAGGACATTAGAGCATCCTGTTCACGACTTCATGAGCCCATGGGGGAGAGCGAGTTTTGTGCTATGTAATACGTGACACTCTAAGGCAGAACCTACAGACTTCCCTATTGAAAAGTACTGCTGTGTTTTGAATAAAAATGCTGTATTTCAGATAAAATCTGCCAAACAACCCTTTGGAGAAAAATAACAGGCATTTGTATTAGGGCCAGGGAAAGTCACCAACAACATGATCTAACTGTGTTGCATAATTTTAGCTATGTAACAGTAAGAGATTCATCAAAGAACAATGTTATTCCAGTTATCATCAAAATACACGCAGGTAATTATAAGTGGTTGCTCAGAATACACCCAGTTTTCACCTCTCCCTTATCCTTGCCCTTTTTTTTTAGCATGGGAAAAAATGTATTATCATCTGGGGGCCCAGAGGAAAGTGCAGAATTTTGAAATGTTTTCCATTTCATGTTCCTCTTTTTGTTATCTGATCTAGAACATGGAAGAGTATTTCCTAATAAACAAACAGTTTATGTACTTTAATCCCCGTCTATATATTTTTTGTCCTATTATCAGTGTTTGAGCTCCTTTGCATAAGTCCTAATAACTGGTGATAAGGACAGCTGGGATACAAATATTTACTTTGTGCTTGTAGTAGTATGACTTTTGACAAAAGTCAAATAACTTCTTGGTAGCAGCTTTCACTGACTATGAGCTTGTCCAAACAGTGAATACTTGAGCTAACACCAAAATAAATTAGCTATCCACAGTTGTTGAGATAAAAGAAACATTTTGACATGTAATCTAACTCTGGCTCTTTTTCTTTTTTTTTCCGGGTGAATGTTAATAATTACATTGTATTATGTATTTTAATAGTGACGATGTTTTAGACATGGAGCTGTTTTTCCCTAGTTCCCATTCAAGGGTTGTAATCTTTTCATTAGACTGATTTTTTTCCCTTGCTGCCTTCAACATGTGGAGAACATACCAAAAAAGTGGCTTCAAGTATTCATTGAACTAAACTGCACTGATGCTGTTGCCATCTGGTTGGACAAATAGCGTCTGTATTTCAGATTTCAGAAGAGGGCTCAGAGAGGAAGCACTGGTGTGGAAAGGACACGGTGACATATTCCTGCTTGCGGTCACTCTTTCATGTTGGAAAGATGCTTTCCTGTAGAAAAACAGGCAATTTTGGAGCTCTGGTTTTGCATTAAGCTGCTAATGAACATCCAGGCTCTGCCCTGCTCCGAGCCCGTCCGTCCGTCCTGCAGCCGAGGGGCCAGCACAGGGCCCGGGGGACAGGCGGACAGGCCACCAGCATCGCGCTGGAGCGGAGGCCGAGCAGCTGCTCCGAGATCTGCAGCTTATTCCAGTAGCTGCATATTTCTGGCAAGCCCAATGTGCCGATAAGCTAAAACCAAAAGCAGGGCCAGTTTTAGGCATGTTATGCAAATCTGAGCTTTACCCACACAGCGAGGGCAGGTAGATAGTAGGGGAAAGCACAGCAGCAACCAATGCAGCTGTCTGCAAAGTCTCTAGAATAAACTCAGTTTGAGGAGCAAAAGAGGCTGCATCCCACTGCCCACCTCCAGGATAACTGGCTTAGGAAACCGGGAGGCAATAGCAAGGTTCAGGTCAGTCCTTCTGGCACCAGCCCTGCCTTCTGGATAGATGCAATCTTTCGGCTAAGTATTGCACATGCCTGGGCAGCATCCTTGTGTTTAGGGGAGGAAAACCTTATCCCTTTATTGCTTTTCTGTGAGGGATGTTACTCAAGTCAGTACTCCCAATGGCAGCTGCGGGAGGGATGAAGGAGTGACAGGGAGACGGTCACGCGGACGAGGGCGGCTCCCGCGTGTTCCCAGCACCGCAGCGCGGGTCGGTCCCTGCGTGTTTTGGCAAAGCAGGTTCCCCCGAGCACCTCCCCACTGCTCATGAGCTACTCAGACTCAGCTGCGCAGGACGTGCCCCAAAACACTGCAGTGGTGCCCGAAAGCTCCCTCTTGCTCTTCATGAACCCCGTAGAAATAATTCCAAAATAAACAGCTGACAGTAGAAAATCCAGCATTTACCAGCCTCCTTGGACAAGCCATGGGAACAG